TGCGTTTGTCCTGTACGATCTCAAGCGTCGACTCCTGTTCGCCGCGCGGGACAGGTTCGGCATTAAACCGCTCTACTACACCACGTTCAAAGGTTGCATCATGTTCGCCAGCGAGATGAAAGCATTCATGGGGCTGGGCTGGCAGGCGGAGTGGGATATCGACAGTATCGTACATAGCGGTGATTTCGGCGGCGAGCGCACGGTTTTCAAAGGCGTTCAGAAGGTAGGGATTTATTTTCCTGCCCTGATTGATATGATACGAATGAATCTAGCTGCCTCCCGGATACCTGGCCATATGTCGGGCAACCGGACAGATTGAGACGCGTTCATACTGGGATATCAGCTTCCCGGCTCCGACCGTTGTGCCGGGTGCAACGATGGATGACATGATTTCGACGGTGCGGGACCTCCTCGTGGAGTCCGTCCGGCTGCGACTTCGGTCAGATGTGCCGATGGCCGTGTATCTCAGCGGTGGGATCAACAGCTCTGCTATCGCGGGAATTGCTACGCAGCTGCTCAGAGAACAGGATCCGGCAGCGAAGTTGACAACGTTCACGTTGGCGTATGTCGGTGAGCTCACGACCAGGTCCTGGAAATAGTATGTTCTAGGTATTAATTTGATTTCAATAGAGGATCCCACCACGGACGAATCGCCACTCGCAGCTCGCGCGGCTGCCCACATTGGGGCCGACATCCACATGGTCAGCGCTACCGAAGCCGCCCTAGTCGACGTTCTTGAGCAGAGCATTTGGCACTCTGAGCAGCCCAATGTAACTTTCCACGCTGCAGGGAAGATGCTTTTATCCAAGGCTGTCCATGAGGCGGGGTACAAGGTATTCTCTTTAATACCCTTCCATTAATGAGGAGCTGAGCATCGCTTCGGCAGGTAGTTCTTTCTGGCGAAGGGTCCGATGAAATATTTGGCGGCTACCGGTTTTTCGCGCGCGACTACCTCCGCGATGCAGACCCTGCTGGCGAAGCTTTGGGCATACCGCTGCCGTCCGAAGCCGAACGTCTTGCCATATCAGCCAAGTACGCGGTGGGCGCTGGACCTCTCTTTGCATCGGTCGGTGAAAAGGCTGCTCCCAAGTTCAACACCCCGCGTCCCCTCCTGAGGACTACCTCACATATCGAAGTCATGAGCCTGCTCGCCAAGAATGCTGATACTTTCCTGTCTGAAGTACTCGAACACACCGGTGGATCCGACGTCGTGCGGTGCGCCGAGGAAGGCATTGAGCCGATCGTCCGTCATAATTCTGTGACGGGGAAATGGCATAGTTTGAATGTCTCCCTGGTACGTCTCTGAAGCTCTGATCCTGGAAGTTACTCACCGCAAAAAAGTATGTCATCACCAAGACTCTTCTCGGTAGGGTGATCCTCAGCACGACGGGAGATCGCGCGGACATGGCAAATTCCCTTGAAAGTCGTCCACCATTCTTGGATCATCACCTTGTTGAATATGTGCAAAATCTGCCTCCGTGCGTGACCAACATTGGCTCCAGTCTGTTGAGGGCATGTTTGATCAATTTTGCTGCAGGTCTTTGAAAATCATGCCGGTTCACGAAAATGAGTCAAGTGAATGGACCCTTGTCGAAAAATGGATCCTGCGTGAGGCAGCCAAGCCGTTCATCACTGAGGAGGTCTATCATCGCAAGAAGGTCCATTTTAATCCGCCTCCATCCGGTCCACCCGCCGTCCCGAATACGCTTTTACCTCTTCAAAAGCATCTCAAAGCCCGTATCACTCAGGAGAATGTCGAACATCTCGGGTTCATCGGCTGGTCTGGCATTAAAGATCAGCTGGAGGAATACCTGGAGTCACCGACATTCCCGCCTCACGGCGGCCTTGATCCCAGGGCTCGAATCTTGATGATCGTGCTTAGCTATATTGTTCTGCAGGAGCGTTTCCACGTCCCGCCTCTCCGATTTTGAGGGGAAGACTTGATGATTCCTTATCAGAAATTCACTCAGTCTGATATTTGTACCGCAATATTGATAACCTGTCTCAAAAACTTGAGCCGTGAAAGGACGGGTAACGTCTGAGGCGACAATATAACATGCCCTTGGCTTAGAGGGTAACGTACTTGCTGATCGGGGAAAGCTTGAACCATTGATCCAAGGCAACAAACAAGTCATTTAATCGCAGAAATACCATTATAAAGACGTCGAGACCAGTTCTCTTGAAATAAAGAGCCCGCCAGATCTAGAGCAAAGCAGTCAAAGCCCACAGAAAGCTCAGCTAAGTGTCGCGTTTCGCGAGCCTAAGACTAGCGTTGAACGACGAAGGGTAACAACAAGGCCCCGCGGGCGGTGGGAGTCAGGAACAAACGTGCGCTGTTAACGCAATCACCCACGCGGTGATTGATGGACTCGGAGGAGACGCAGACAAAAATAACTCGGGCTCAATCGCGGAATGGAGGAGGCAAAGCTGGCGCCATGATGCTCCAATACGATGTTCGTGAGCAGCACAACATGAGATCGATTGAAGCCTAAGGTGCCCGCAGGACTTTCATTGGACAAAGTGAGATACAAAGGATCCTCGTTGAAGTAGATCGGCATCCACACTCCAGCTGGCAGTGAGAAATACTGCTGGGGCCTCATTGGACAGAGGAATGCGAGAAGAATTGCACCAGTGGGTAACCTTGACGTACCTTAAAGACGTAAGAGGTGTCTTTGGGCAGTTTCACCACGACGCTCCACGCCGTTACGTTTCTCGTGCGCGACGACGGCACCCTCAATCCAATCGCCCATGCGCGCGCGCCGGGAGGCATACTGATGTATCCGCCGTCGGCGCTAATTACGAGTAGGGGTTAGCGGCGTCGGAGAGTGAAATGAGGACGAGGTAATCCACCTCGGAGCAGTTCAGAGCCAGGGAGTGGCCATCCCATGCACGCCACTTATGAGCGCGCGCTGTTCGGCGCGCCAGCAATCACTATGGGGGCAAGTAAGGTTGAAATTCACCTGGGATCAACCTCTGGTGGGATGAATGGGGCACGTTCAACCTATATAGGTGTGCATTTAGGTTGAAAAACGAGTAACCTATCAAGTAGGTTGATTCCATTTTCAACCTATAAAGATAGGTTTAATGTGGGGCATTTTAGGTTGAAAATCAACCTGGCTTCATAGGATAAATTTGAACCAGGGCCACCGTCGCAGAGCATTGGTGGAGGGAAATGTGGATCTGCAGAAAATTAGTGTGTTAGTGTGGCACTTAAAAATACGAGAACAAAAGACCCGAACGATGACTTGCGACGAGACTTGCGGTTTGTCCTGGTGACCTTGTCCTTTCGCGGCGCCACGGCGAGAAGCCAGAGGAGTGGTCGAACGCCGTGCGGACTGGCCCGATGCCCCAATTTTGGAGATGCGCAGAAGAGGTTGTGAATGAGCGAATTACGGCTAAATCCGCGAAGGCAATGGGGAATTGCTGATTTATTAGAGGTCGGAGCGTCTTCTATAATCAGATTTCCTTTTCAAGTCAAAGATCGTGCCACTTGCTTCGTCTCTGGAGCATGTAATCTGCTTGCCGTATCGCCAGAAGCCAGACATCGACAATCGATACACTCGACCTGGCAGGAAGAGCATTGTATACCAACGGGATAAACTGCCCATGAAGTTGAAATCGGCCAGGAAAGGATTTTCTTCGTCCGCCGTCGCCAGACAGTCCCAACTTGAACATCGCCGAGATGGCCGAGACTCCTTTTTTCTTTGAACTTATATCGCCTGATGACTGGCTTTTGTATGGGGTACCAGTTGTCCACCGAATTCGTGGCAACTAACTGGTTGAATAAACGCAGGAGGAAAGCGCTTCCGAGAACAAGCCGAGCATCAATCAAAGCGGCAATCGCAATTACTTCTCTTTTGTCCCAAACCACCTCGTTCCGAGTCATTCTTGCCGTCCAAACTTGGTCTCATTCTCCCCGTCTACCGGGCGTCGCATTTTATCGATGCTGCGTCTCAACTGCTGCATTTCACTTAAATTTTGCCGCGTTGCAGTTCGAATTCTTTCTCCTCACTCGAAAAGCGGTAACAACAGCATTCACAGCACCTAAGTAGTCCCTCAAAGGAAGATCTTATTTCGCCTGTTAACGTTTTGCTGATGCTGATGTTAGTGTGATACAGTAATATTGACTCTTCCGGATGGAAAGGCCAACGAATACTGCTTGGAGCAACAACAGTAATCACCTTAAAGGGTTCCATATACTCACAAAGCTTACCACTGGTCTAGTACGATGAAGCTCTATCTTCGACAAGTTTCTCAGAGGCCGCGCATTCATCCCTCGAGACTCGGAGTCGACCCCTCCCGTCGTGGTTCCGTCGCTGTCGCCTTAAATTGTAATCAGAACTTCGTCCGCCAAGTGCCCTTTCTTCCCGGTCACCACTCAATGCATCGCGGCTTCACCTGCTGACTTCACTCCACAGCATCCTTTTGTTGAGAGCTTTTGCACTATCTCATTACCCGCAAGTGGACAAGCCAGGCGCACCCTCCTTTTCACCTCACCCGACGTTCATTCGTATGCTCGTATGTTCAACCCAGCATAAGACTCGGGATAACATACCAGCTTCAAGTTGGCGCGGTCCGATCCCGGAACACACAGTGGCCCCAACATGTATTTTGAAGTGACGTTCAACCCACGCCTGGGATTTAGAGCTGCAAGTTGCATCCATGCTGATTTCAACACGCAGACCCAGAGATTAGTAGATGCGATGTCGTTTCGTGATTCGCGGATTCCCCGTTCGATTCGGGGTTGGGGCATTAAATGTCGTTGAGCGCATTTTTTTTTTCCTCTTCGGCTGATTCTTTTTGTTTTCTTTTCACGCTTGTATTCCGTAGAATCGCTACAAGTGGCGAATAAATTCGAGCGAGCGGTGGTTGAACGTCTCAGAGATGCGCCTCGGAGATTCTGTGAGCTTTCCTCGGTGGGCATGTGCAGCGATAATAATAATAATAATATGCTCAAGGAATCCGATCTACCAAGGCTTTGCAGGAATGCAAGGCATCATGACCCAATAGCATAAGTCAGTGTGCCTGCTGACATTTGCGGGGGAAAACAACGTATGCGGGAGGTCCCTGTTCGATTCAGGGTTGGGTCGTTCTTTCCCTGCCTTTTTTCTCACTCACCTGTACGCTTTCTGACTCGGATTTTTCTTTTCTTTTGGTTGCAAATGACGGAAGTGGGCAGTTGGATTACTTAACTTAGTATTCCCGACGCAATTGAGGGATGCCTGAATATGCGCGGGATGCCTGCTAACTTGTGCGAGGTCGCCAACTTGCCTCAGGCTCGTCAATCCAACGATATCATACACCAAGTCTTTACAGGGCCCAGAGAACTATGACCCAATAGCACAAGTCAGTGCGCCTGCTAACATTTGCGGGGGAAACCAACATATGCGGGAGGTCCCTGTTCGATTCGGGGTTGTGTCATTCATCGTTCCACTGGTCTTTTTTCTCTCGCCTTTACGCTTTCTAACTCGGGATATTCTTTTCTTTTGGTCTTCGTCTTGCCTTCCCCACTCAAGACCAAAGAAACTCCAGGGGCGGGCGGTTGAATATTTCCGGATCTGCATATTTTCGGGATACTCAGGCTGAATATTTGTGAGGTCGCCAACTTGTCATCCAACAATCTGATTGATGCACTAAGTCTGTGCAGGGATACAGAGCATCATGACCTAATAGCACAACGGTTAGTGCGCCTGCTAGCATTGAACGGAAGAGAGTGTATGCAAGAGGTCCCTGTTCGATTCGGGGTTGGGTCGTTGTTGTTGAGCGCAATTTTTTTTTCTTGTTTGGCTGACTCCTTTTGTTTTGTTTTCATGCTTCCCTTCCCTGGACCCTAGAATCGCGACAAGTGTCGAATAAATTCCAGCGAGCGGTGGTTGAACGTCTCGGAGATTCTGTGAGGTTTCCTCGGTGTACATGTGCAGCGATAATAATGATGATGTGCTCAAGGAATCTGACGTATGAAGGCTTTGCAGGGACCAGGCGTCATGACCCAATAGCACAAGTCAGTGCGCTTGCTAGCGTTGAGCGAAAGAGAAAGAGAAAGTGTATGCGGGAGGTCCCTGTTCGAATCGGGGTTGGGGCATCACAATGTTATTCAGCGCAATCTTTTTTTTTCCGGTTTGCCTGATTGTTTTGTTTTCCGTGGAGTCGCTACAAGTGTCGAATAAATTCAAGCGAGCGGTGGTTGAACATCTCTGAAGTGCTCCTCGGAGATCCTGTGAGTTTTCCTCGGTGGGCATGTGCAGCGATATGATGAGATGCTCAAGGAATCCGACGTATGAAGGCTTTGCAGGGATGCAAGGCATAACGACCTAATGGCACAACGGCTAGTGCGCCTGCTAATGTTGAGGGGAAATTAAAGGTATACAGGAGGTCCTAGTTCGATTCTGGGTTGGGTCATTTGTTTTCGCTTTCGCCTTCTTTTTCTTTTCGTTCTGCGTTTCACTCTTTCTGACTCGGAATATTCTTTTCTTTTGGTCTTGCCTTGAACCTCGTTCAAATTACGGAAGTGCGGCACAATGTGGTAATGCTTGAGTATTTGCAGGATGTGTGAGGTCGCCAACTGCCTGGTTGATTCGACAATCTGATACTACACCAACACTTTGCAGCAACCCAGAGCACCATGACCCAATAGCACAACGGTTAGTGCGCCTGCTAGCATTGAACGGAAGAGAGTGTATGCAGGAGGTCCCTGTTCAATTCGGGGTTGGGTCATTCATCCAGTTTGACTGGTCTTTTTTTTTCTCTAGCCTTTATGCTTTCTGACTCGAAATATTCTTTTCTTTTGTTCTTCGTTCTGGAATCAGAGAGGTGGCTGGTGATTGGTTGGATATTCCGGACACAAATTCTGAATATGTGCGGGATACCTGGATATTTGTGAGGTCGCCAGCTTGTCCGAGTCGTCAATCCAACAATCTCATACACCAAGTCTTTACAGGGATGCAAGGCATGACCCAATAGCACAACGGTTAGTGCGCCTGCTAGCATTTGACCGGGAACAAATGCCGTAAGCGGGAGGTCCCTGTTCGATTCGGGTTGGGCCATGATTGTTTGCCATGCTTTTTATTTTATTTTACTCTCACTCTGGCTTTCCGTCTTCTTCTGAATCCGATCTCTTCGCTCGTCGCACTTCAATCCCCAACAAACTGCAATCGGCGAGGTGATTGGAGTGGTGTTCACGGGTGACCACTCCCCCCAACGTAGTCAGGGCGGCTCGCATAGATGGTGCTTGTACAGAGGAAGGATATCATGACCCAATGGCACAGTGGTTAGTGCGCCTGTGTGCTGTTCGATGTAGAACAAGTGAGGCAGGAGGCCTGCGTTCGATCCGCGGTTGGTTCATTTCCATTTCCAGCTTCTTTTTTTTTTTCTTCTCTCCGACCCGTTTTGCTTTCCCGCTTGATTTGTCGGTTTTTCTACTGCTTCCCTCAGGAATCACCCGGGCTAACGTGGAATGAACCACTGCTCTTACCGGCGGGCACTCCTTCACTAGCCTAGGTAAATTCAATGATCTCAGGCTCGTTGAATCGCGGTTTTATGTGGTTTGTAATTCCAGACCAGAAATTTAAGCAGGGTTCAACGATTTCCGCTCACGGAAAGTCGTACACCGACTTTAACCGACCAACTTCGGGATACCTGGATATTTGTGAGGTCGCCAACTTGCCTCGGCACCAACAATCATGCACCAAGCCTGTGCAGAGATGCAACACATCACGACCCAATAGTACAAGTCAGTGCACCTGCTAGCATTGAACCGAGAAGAGAGTGTATGCAGGAGGTCCCTGTTCGATTCGGGGTTGGGTCATTCTTTCTTTCGTGGGGTTTTTTCTCTCTCTCGCCTTTACGCTTTCTGACTCGGGAGATTCTCTTCTTTCGGTCTTGCCTTGAACCTCATTTAAATTACGGAAGTGCGGCACAATTTAGTAATGCCTGAATATTTGCAGGATGTGTGAGGTCGCCAACTTGCCTCGTCAATCCAACCAAACCCAACAATCTGATACTCCAACCTTTTGCAGAAATACAACGCATGACGACCCAATGGCACAACGGCTAGTGCGCCTGCTGACATTAGTTGGAAATGATTGAGTTTGTGCAGGAGGTCCCTGTTCGATTCGGGGTTGGGCCATTTGTTCGCTTTGAGTAGTTTTCTCTCTCTCGCCTTTACGCTTTCTGGCTCGAAATATTATTTCCTTTTGGTCTTCGTCTTGCCTTCCTCACTCTAAGATCAAAGAAACTCCGCGGGGCGGGTGGTTGCATATTTGCTGGATGCTCAACTTGTATGTGGTCGCCAACTGCCTGGTTGATTCAACAATCTGATACTACACCAAGCCTTTATAGGGCCCAGAGTACTATGATCCAATAGCACAATGGTTAGTGCGCCTGCTAACATTGTGTAGGGAAAATGTTGGGTATGCGGGAGGTCCCTGTTCGATTCGGGGTTGGGTCGTTTTATTTTATTTTATTTTTCGCATTCTTTTTCTTTTCGTTCTGTGTTTCCCTTTTCCTGAATCATAAATCCTGTCTTGCCTTCCCTACTCAAAGAAACTACAGAGGTAGCTGGTGGGATATTCCCGACACGATTTAGTGATGCCTGAATATGTGCGGGATACCTGAACATTTGGGAGGTCGTCAACTGCCCGGGCCTGGTTGATTCAAGAATCTCGTATACCAAGTCTGTACAGGGATACAGGGCATCATGACCCAATAGCACAAGTTAGTGCGCCTGCTAACATTATGCGGGGCAACGGTGTGTATGCAGGAGGTCCCTGTTCAATTCGGGGTTAGACTCGTTACCAGTCTGCGCTACGGCAAAAGTAGTGATGAGGTTATTTGCCGTAGGCAGACTGGTACAACTCGGGCCACGCCAAAGGGCTGCGCACGGAGTTTGAAATTTTGGCGGGCGCCGAGGGTGCCGATTAAGTGGCTGTGTTAATCCATCAATTACCCGCCAAAATTAACATTTTCACAGCTCACCTTCTAAGGCACAAAATATTATTCTGAGGAGACAGAACTCAAGTTCAAAAGCTTCAGATTACCGATTTTTGAAAAAGTTCAGTGGGACCCTATAAATTGAGCAAAATCCAGCTTCGGGGAAATTTTTCAAACTCCGGGCACAGTCCTTTGGTGAGATCCGAGTTGTACCAGTCTGCCTACGGCAAACCAACCTCCCCATCTTTTTGCCGTAGTGCAGACTGGTTACGAGTCTAATTCGGGGTTGGGTCATTTCTCTGGTGTTCTTTCTTTTTTACTCTCACTCTCACTCTGTCTTCTTCTGAATTATCTTTAGAGGGATGTGGAGCATCACGACCCAATAGCACAAGTCAGTGCACCTGCCTAAATTCAGGAGAAAGCGATTGAGTATGCAGGAGGCCCCTGTTCGATTCGGGGTTGGGTCATTTGTTTTCGCTTTTGCCTTCTTTTTCACGTTCTGTGTTAGGATGCACATTCCCGGGCCTGCATATTTGCGGGATGCCTACTAAGTAACATGTGTGAGGTCGCCAACTTGCCTCAGGCTCGTCAATCCAACAATCTGACCTACCAGGTCTGTGCAGCAACCCAGAGCATTGTGACCCAATAGCACAACGGTTAGTGCGCCTGCTAGCATTGGGTGAACGAGGAATGTTGTACGCGGGAGGTCCCTGTTCGATTCGGGGTTGGGTCATTTGATTGCTTTTTCTTTTCGTTTCGGCGCTTCACTCGTTCTAAATCACAACTCCTGCCTTGCCTTCCCCACTCAAAGAAACTATAGAAGTGGCTGGTTGAATATTTCCGGATCTGCATACTTTCGGGATGCTCAACTTGTATGTGGTCGCCAACTGCCTGGTTGATTCAACAATCTGATACTACACCAAGCCTTTATAGGGCCCAGAGCACTATGATCCAATAGCACAATGGTTAGTGCACATGCTCACATTAATTGCGCTGTAAAGAATGTGTATGCAGGAGGTCCCTGTTCGATTCGGGGTTGGGCCATTTGTTTTCAGTTTCGCAGTTTCGCCTTCTTTTTCTTTTCGTTCTGTGTTTCCCTTTTCCTGTATCACAACTCCTCCATTGTCTGTCTTGTCTTCCCTATAATACTCAAATAAATTACAGGCTGGTTAGATATTCCCGGGCCTGGCTCGCCAATCCAACAATCTGATATACCAAGTCTGTACTGTACACTGGCAGTGTACAGGGATGCAAGGCATCACGACCCAATAGCACAATGGTTAGTGCACATGCTCACATTAGTTGCGCTGTAAAGAATGTGTATGCAGGAGGTCCCTGTTCGATTCGGGGTTGGGTCATTTCAGTTTCGCAGTTTCGCCTTCTTTTTCTTTTCGTTCTGCGTTTCACTCGTTCTGAATCCTAACTGCTGTCTTGTCTGTCTTGTCTTCCCTATAATACTCAAATAAATTACAGGCTGGTTAGATATTCACGGGCCTGAATGGCTCGCCAATCCAACAATCTGATATACCAAGTCTGTACTGTACACTGGCAGTGTACAGGGATGCAAGGCATCGTGACCCAATAGCACAACGGTTAGTGCACATGCTCACATTAGTTGCGCTGTAAAAAATGTGTATGCAGGAGGTCCCTGTTCGATTCAGGGTTGGGTCATTTGTTTGCTTTGAGGAGTTTTTTTTCTCTCTCGCCTTTACGCTTTCTGGCTCGAAATATTATTTCCTTTTGGTCTTCGTCTTGCCTTGAACCTCATTCAAATTGGTTGGATATCCCCGACACGATTGAGTAATGCCCAAGTAATGCCGGACTCGGAATATCTGGGATACCTGAATATTTGTCAGGTCGCCAACTTGCCTCAGGCTCGTCAATCCAACAATCTGATCTATGTAGCAAATTTGTGCAGGGGTACAAAGCATCATGGCCCAATAGCACAACGGTTAGTCCGCCCGCAACATTTACGCGGAAAACGTTATAGTGTGCGGAAGATCCCTGTTCGACTCGGGGTTGGGCCATCTCTTTTTGTGTTTTTTTTTATTTTTTTATTATCTTTTATCTTTTACTGTTACTCTCACCCTGGCCCTCTCACTTCTTCTCAATTGTGTCTTTGTTTCTTCCTTTCCCCGTCCTTCTTCATCCCCAAACAAAGTGGCATCGGAGACCGATTGGAGTGGAGTGGTGTTCACAGGTGACCCCCCCCCCCCAACGTAGTCAGGGCGGCTTGGATAGATGGTACTTGTACAGAGGAAGGACATCATGGCCCAATGGCACAGTGGTTAGTGCGCCTGTGTGCTGTAACAAAACAGGGTATTGCTAGGCAGGAGACCCGCGTTCGATCCGCGGTTGGGTCCTTGAAATGGATGGTGGGCCTTTTTTTGGGTCATTGAGATCCAGCATCTTTTCCTTCTCTCCGTTTGTTCTGTTGTGTCTTGCCTTGAGAAAATCGTGGTGGATAAAGTCTGCGATTTGTCGCCGGCCCCGGGCCGCCATCAAATCACGTCGCATCTGGCATCATCACACGACCTGGATCAGTGTCATCCGCACGGCGCAGGCAAACAACCTTCTTCCGTCTCCTCAGGCCGGGTCTCAAGCACACGCACGGGCAGGGCGTTACTCGCTGGGTTACGGATCCAGTATTATATGCCCTTGAATCTCGTTTAACTGGTCTAAAATGTCACTCCACTCGCCCTCGCTCGGACCCTCCTCGCCGTCGCCCTCCTCCTCCGCCGTCACCATCCCCATCCCCGGCCGCTCCATCCTCAAGAAGCCCCCGCCCGCCCAGACCGGCCTCCTCTCCCGCATCGGCCTCGGCAGCTTCCTGCGCTCCTCTAGCACCCCCTCCTCGTCCGCTCCAACCGCGCAACCCCCCGCGGAGTACGCCGGGGCGCAACCCACCAGCAGCGGCGGGAAGGAAAAGGACGAGTCGACGCGCATCCTGAAGCGCGCGCACTTTATCCTGCCCGAGATCGCGGTGGTGTACCCCATCTCGTCCGCCGCGCCGCCGTCGACGCCCACCCTGCGCGAGGAGAAGCGCGCGATCGAGGAGCGGGAGCGCGAGCGGCGCAGACGGGTCGTAAGGTCGCATCCGCAGGGCGGGGGGTATGCGACTGGGTCGGGGTCGGCGCCGTCGACGCCGGGGCTGGGGAATGGGAACGGGAACGGGAGCGACGCGGCGAGCGTGCGCACGGCGAGCACGAATAATAAGGAGAGGGAGAGGGAGGGGGGCGGGGAGGAGAGCACGTGGTGGTCGATGGACAAGGTCGAGAGCTTTTACCGCGAGTGCTGCGAGGGGTGCCAGGAGATCCCGGATAAGGGCATATGTGCTGCGTTCAAGGTGCGTTCCTGCGTTTTTTTTTTTTCACTGGTGGCGGGGTTTGCGACGAGCGGCGGCTTCATTGACGAGCAGCGTTTTTTTGAAAAAAAAATCGGTGTGCCGATGCGTTCCTTGTCTTGCCTCGCGTCGTCGCGCCCGGTCGATTCTATCCACCATCTATCTATCTACCCCCACCCCCCCCCCCTTCCCCATCCTCTCCACCCCACACATACTTATTCACTAACCCCCTTCCCAACAGTCCACCCCCCCCACCCACCCGCGCACCGTCTCCTTCTCCGGCGTCCAGCTCACCCCCGCGTCCGCCGCCGTCCTCGCGGACGTCCTCAGCATCGAGTGGGGCCTCAGGAAGGTCGTGTGGCGGGAGTGTGATTTGGAGGAGGGGGTGAGTTTTTGGTTTTTTTTGCGTTTCGTAGTGGAGGGACGAGGGGGGAGGGTTGAAGGGAGGGGGGAGGGTTGAAGGGAGGGGGGAGGGAGGGGAAAAGGAAGGGGGTTGGGTGGAGGGCGGGAGGAGGGGAGGGGAGGGGGGAGAGTTCGGGAGAGGTTTTTTGGAGGGGAGGGTGGGTGGACGTTTTGGAGGGTGCAGGGTGGAGGGTTCGTGGTATGGTTTTGGGGGGAGGAGGACGGCTTTTGGAGATGGAGGGCGGGATTTTTGGCCAGGGCACGATACGGCGCCGTGTCGTGCGCGTCCGTTCCGCCCTTCACGCGTCCTGCGAGCTGCCGGGAGCCGAGACGCCGATGATGGATGGATTCTGTCCGTCGAGGCGACGCCACCGACGTACGGCGTACGACGCCCAGACCCGGTCTTTATTTCTCTCGTTTTCGTTTTCTCCTTCTTGGGAGTTACGCGGTGGCAGGCTGCGCAGCTCCCGTCTGCGTCCCCCCGCGTCCTCCCACCTCCCCCGCCCTCCCTCCCCTTTGCCGCTCTCTCCTTCTTACCGCTCGCTCATCCCTTCGTGGTGTGGGTTTGGAGAGTTTTGTTGGGGGGAAGAGGGAGAGGAGGGGCGGGATTTTTTGGCGTAGGGCACGATGGGGCGGCGGCGCCGTGTCGTGCGCGTCCGTTCCGCCCTTCACGCGTCCTGCGACACCGAGACGCCGAGACGCCGATGATGGATGGATTGTGTCCGTTGGCGGTGGCGACGCCACCGACGTACGGCGGCCAGACCCGTCCTTCCACACATTCTTATTTTCATTCTTCCATTATTATCATCATTTTCTCCCCACTAACCCCTCTCTCTTTTCACAGACCCTCAAACCCCTCCTCCACGCGCTCCTCATCCCGCGCTCGCTCGAAGTGCTCAGCCTCGCCGCGAACAGAAGGCTGAAGGGCGGCGCGTGGCGCGTGCTGGGGGCGTATTTGGGGAAGGTGCGTTTCTTTGTTTTTCTAAATTAAGGGGGTGGGATTCGCCGTCGCGACGTCCGACCTGGAGGCGGCGGAGAGGCGGAGAGGCGATATCGGTGTCGGCGTCGTCGGTCGTGCGTGTGCTGGAGGAGACGCGCTGGTGGTGCAGAGGACACGCGTTGATGTGGCCGTCTCGTGCGCGATCCGCGTGCACGTCAAGGGTGGGGGAGGCGGCGCGCAGCGATCGGCCCGTCGTCCGCATCGTCCAAAGGGATGTGTTTATCTAGCCGCGCCGCAGGCGAGACAAGCGTGTATCGATGCGGGATGACGATATCCGTCGGTTGGCGGTGGCACACGACCATGTCCATGTCCATGGGCACGGATGCTAGGATATCGGTGTCGTGCATCGTGCACGGCTTCTGGTGTCGAGTGGGACGCCGGTGTCGGACATGCGTGTCGTCTGCTCGCGCTGGCGATAGTGCAGCCCTCACATTTCACTCCGCGCTCCTTCCCCCTCCCCCTCCCTTCCCTCCCTCCCCCTTTCCCTTCCCCTCTTCCCCCCCTTCCCCCCCTCCCCCCTTCGCTCCCCCCTTCCCCCTCCGTTCGCTAACCCAACCCCCCACCCCCGCAGGCCCACACCCTCACCTTCCTCGACCTCTCCTCCAACACGCTCGACAAAAAGGCGGTCGAGTGCATCGTGGGCGCGCTGGTGGAGTATGTGCCCGTTGAGCAGCGGTGAGTTGTTTTTTTTGGGGTTTTTTTGGGTTTGGGAGGGGGGCGTCTGACGATCGCGTCCTCTCTTCATTCGTCTTCACCTATCTACACAAACCCATACTGATACTCGTCCCAGCACAACCTCCTCCGCCGCATCCTTCATCTCGATATCCGACTCGGCCTCGGTCGACAGCCGGGACTCCTCCACCACCTCCAACAACAACTACTCCACCCCGTCGACGACCTCGTACATGAACGGCAGCGAGGTGCGCTACAGCCTCGGCTACGCGCTCGACGACAAGGACAAGGACGCGCGGGATCGGGAAGGGCGGGAGCGCAAGGGGCTCGTGTCGCTGAAGCTGGATGACTGCGGCCTGCGCGCGGCGGCGTTGGAGACTTTGTGTGCGTGCTGCGTGCTGCCTCCCCCTCAATGAGCTTATTATACTAACTAAAATGTGGCTATGCGCAGCGCGCGCCGTGCGCACGTCCACGCTGCGCAACATCTCCCTCCGGCACAACAAGATCTCGCCCACGGGCGCCGTCGCGCTCGCGCTCATGATCCGCGACTACCCCGACGTCCTCGCCACCCCCGCCGCTTCTTCTTCCTCCCCCGGCTCCTCTGCGTTCCTCGCGAACAGCTACGGCCACGCGCACGCGCACACCGGCTCCGTGCCCCCCAGCCCCACGCTCGCGGCGCACCACCTCGACCACCTGCGCGAGCACCACCGGCCGCAGACGCACAGCGGCGGCGGCAGCGGGAGCGCCTCGCCCGTGCTCCCCACGGGCCCCAGCTCGGGGATCGGGCTCGGGCTCGGCGGGCTGGGCGCGCTCAACAGCAGCTTGGCGGCGCACTCGCAGCAGCAGGGCGGCAAGCTGCCGCCGCCGCCGCCGCCGCGCCACCCGGCGCAGACGATCACGGCCGCGCAGACGACGTACACGCCGTACGTGCCGCGCCGGCGGCAGCAGTCTGCCAACACTGGTGCGGGTGCGGGTGCGGGGGCGGGGGTGGGTGCGGCGCCGCCGGGGCGGGCGGTGGTGGCGAGCAGTGTGTTGGGCGGGGTGACGGCGCGGCATGTGCCGTCGTCGCCCGCGTCGTCGGTGTATGGCGGGGTGCATGGCGCGGTGGATAAGGAACGGGAGGCGCGGGAGGCGCGGGAGGCGAAGGAGCGGGAGGCGGCGGCGCGGGAGCGGGAGCGGGACGGGCCGAGCGCGGCGCTGCTGGACAAGGTGCGGGCGCTGGATGCGTTGCCGCGGGTGGGCACGTTGCGGACGTTGGATCTGCGGGGGAACGATTTAAGGGTGCGTTGCGCGTCCTTCTTATCATAGGGAGAGCTGACTTGTCTTGGCAGACGGGCATCACGTACATCGCGCAGGTGCTGAAGCGGAATCGGACGCTCAAGGTGCTGAATCTGGCGGAGAACAAGCTGGACGTGGCGTGTCTCGTCAGCTTGGCGGAGGCGTTGGTGGGTCTTGCTTGCTTTTCTCCCTTGGAAGACACGATGCTGACATTCGGCGCAGAAATACAATTCAAGTCTCGAGACGCTCGACCTGTCGCGGAACCCGTGTTCGGGGCCGGGGCTGGAGGGCGTACGTCTCCTTCCCTTCCTTTAAAACACCGCGATTTACGTGCTACGTCCTAGATCCAATCCCTCCGCACGGCCTTTACCCTCAACACCGCGCTCAAGCGGCTCTTCCTCTCCGCGACCGGCATGGGCTCCCCCGGCGCCATCGCCCTCGCGGAGTTCCTCCCCGAGTCCGCCTCCCTCCTGCACCTCGACCTCACGGAGAACGCCCTCGGCGTCGCGGGCGTGCTCGCCCTCTCCAAGGGCATCGAGGCGAACTTTGTCATGCGGTGCCTCGACCTGAACATCCCGCCGGGCGACGAGGAGTTTGCGCGGATGTGCCGCGATATATTGAATGCGTGTGTGCGGAACACGGAGGCGGCGGAGCGCGTCGCGGGGGCG